GGAACAAGGACTTGGCCTGGTTTTCCTTGTGATGAATGTGGGGGATTTCTGCCTTAGACTTTCGGATGCGAAATAAGAAAGAAATGTGTCAAGGAACATATGAAAATAGGAGTAGATTTAAGATCTCACTTTATGTGAAAATGACCATCTGCATCGCTGTGTAGCAGAAAAGATGGAGGATGGGTTATTTAATGGGTTTTCTCTGACTTACAGCACCGACAAGAATTGCACTGTATCTTGTACCTGCATTTCTCCAGATAAATTCAGGAGAATGGAGAAGGTGTTGATTTTTATTCTGTTGGATAAATCAAAGTGGAGGCTGTTCCTTAAGGAGCACAGTCTGGGAAGAAGGCATCTCCTGGTATCGCCATAATTTCTAGTTTTTCTGAAAAATTACTCACTCCTCTCTTTACCTTAGTTGTAAATACAATGGGCTGCTTTTTTTCAGTAGAGCATCAGTCTTCTGTACCACTGCTCCCTTGATCACAGCTGTGTTTATATTATGTGATTCTTAGGGAATTCTGCCCATGAACTGCAAAACAGGAGGGGAAAGGAAGAGCAAGCCTTAGTTCAAAAATTGGCCCATTTGGGTGTTTTTTTTCCCTTTTGGATGGGGCAGGAAAATCCATCCTTAATGGAAAGAGAATGTTATGGTGTAATGCAGTTAACACCTTCTGTTGTGAGAAGGAGAATTAATTAGGAAGGAGTTGGAGCCCCTGGCTGACAGGTTCATGATCCATAAAGCTAATCAGTTCTGTAGCCTGTCACTGCTGTTGCTGCAGACTGGTCAGCAGCTGGATCCCATGCTGGGGAGGGAGATGTTTGCAGCTTGTCACGTTTTCACCGTTGTGCCAGTGCGGAACAGGAAAGCAATGCTGGTTTATTTCTGCAGCTCAAAAGTTACTGTTACGTCTAGCACTGGCTGTAAAGCCTCAGTGGGTTTCTGGAGAAAGAAATCAAGCACTGAACTCGCCACTAAATTTCCTGATTTAGCTGTGGTAAATCGTCTGTGCCTGCAGAAGTCACAGCAGCATTTAGGTGCTGAAAGGTAACCACGTAGGTAAGGCTACTCTGAGCCTTTGGTTTAACTGGGCTCAAAATACACATTGACCTGATGATTAAAAGTAGTGTTTGTTACCATTAATGAGCAAGAGTTCAATAATCTTATTAATATTTATCTTTGTCCTTTCATTGATCATGTGCCAAATGGGGAGCTGTTCTGCTGTTCCACCTCCCTCTCCTACTGTGGCTGTAAAACATGAACACAGACCATTCTGCAGCTTTCAAGGTACAGAGCCTGTTGGGGTAGGGTTTTTTTTGGTGCCAGAATTGCAGATGTTTCTTCATGCCCAGCAATTTCATCAAGTTTGTGAAGGAGAGAAACCCACAGTCATCTCCATCCCAGTGGTTCATTGGAAAAACATATCTTGTATTAAATACTTTAAAGATTCATGAAGCAGCTTTAATTTTGTTTGCATTTCTTCCTGAAGGGTAAAGCTGTCAGAAATCTCTAAATGCATTGCCTAATCCATTTCCAAACTCAGTATATTCAGGTCTGCAAGCAAAACTCATTTTTAGACTTTAGCAAGTTTGCAGACAGGAGAGAAGGCAGGGGAAATAGAGCAGGAAAGATTTTTCTTTCCTCGGTAATGCACTGAACTACCTGCGTGGCTGCCATGCCAGTCCCTCACAAAAAGAGTGCAACCCAAATGGACTGTAAGAGCAGCTCTGATAAATAGAGGGCTTCACATGTTCCTGTTGGATCAGATACAAATAGAGTAAATACATCTATCAGAGAGGGAGGGCTCAGGCAGAAGAAAGTTTCCTTCCCGTTATTGCCTCCCAGCTTCCAAGGTTGCCTTGAGAAGGTTCATATGCAGCTGAGGAGATTTTGTTTTCTCATGTTCCAGTTTCTAATCTGTGACCTTTTTGTGTTAGGACATGATTTTTTTCCCAAGGTTCTGGTCTGCCAACTGAAGAGCTTTTCCTGTTTCCTTATGCCTGCAAAGACAGTGCTCACAGGTGGGCTCAGGAGGCTGGCTGGGAAATGTTCATTTAAGGAACTGATTCAATGCAAGGGAAAGAATGAGTGAAAATCATCTCCAGAACAGAGAAAAATGACCTGACATCAAACTCTCTGTCCTGTACAAAGGAAATACCTCTGGGTTGCTGGCCAAGCTCTGCAGTAGCAAATACAGAGCGAGAACACTCACAGACCTGTCCCAAGACAACAGCAGGACGCCTCAGGTTTGATGCTTGGCACCTTGTATGAAAGGTACCTGAAGGACTGGTTCACATATCAGGTCTAATCCATCGTCAGCTGGCCCATGGAAATGATTAACCATGGCATTGTCAGCCTTTGCTTGGAATCCCTGCTCCTAAACACAACCCCTGCAGTTCTCCTGTCTGCCCTGGAGACAGACCCTGCTTCTCATGCAGGCCTGGGCTCCTCTGCTGGTTGTGCAGTTCATAACACTGATTTAAAATCACAGTGATATTGAATGTTAGCTGTGCCTGGCCAGCTCAGACCATCCTTGCCCACCACAGAGGTCAAGTGTGTGCTCTTAATCCTTCCCGAACTCAGCAGTGTTGGGGGTTAATGAGGCCAAGTTTTGGCCATCAGTTACTGTAATTGTCCTCCCTCACCCACTTGCCTGAGTTCAGAATGTGGTCACACCTAGTGCAGAGAAGGGGAGAGGGGGAGGTGGCACCCAGCTCCCTTCCCTGGCAGAGCACTTGCCTTAGACACCCAGGCACTTCACTGCACAGCAGCAGGGCTGCCCAAAAGGGATGGTTTCTTAATATCACAGTTCTCTTGGCGGTAGGGTTGAAGGATTATAAGGGTGTTCCTTGCTAGGACATCTTTGATTTCTTCACATTCCCCTCCATCACTAGCCCACAGGTTTCTTGCCTGACGCTTCACCTGTCCTGACACTCTGGCTTTATTTAGCCTGACCCATTGCAGTGCACGTGGTCTCTTGTCAGCCCCTGGTCGAGCAAAGGTGGCAGGAGGTGACAGGCACAGTTGTGCTTTGATGGCAGTGTGTTCTTGTGTGTGACTTGCTAATGTCACGCTGTTTGGCTCAGTGTGTCAAGTGCTGGTTAGAGTTTCTTGGAATAAAGGAAGTATTAACTGTAAATGGCTCTGACTGGTATCTAATTAGAGAACACATTGGGAAGAACTTGGGCGACAATCCAGCAAAGCACTTAAGCACCCACTGATTTTTAAGGAAAGGCCCCTTAACTGGGATTGCTCCTGCTCTCAAACATCATCAGAAGTTTGTCAGGGGACCAGTACTTTCTCCTGACTACCTCAGCACATCCATCTCATTTTCTGAAGTGACCTAAGGAGCTGAGGGTTCAAGGTTGACTCGAGGTCTGAAGGAAATAAACTCCTAAATCACCCCTGTGCTTTGAGGAGTCTACTCAGCTGGACAGCTGCTTTTGCTGTTCTTCATCCTCACTGCAATAAATAAAATTATGGCAGCTTTTAAACCACTGCTAAATTGTGAGCTTTGCCTTTGCCCATCTACATGTTCCTGTTGCATTGGGATTACCAGAGATATTCCATCATGTGATGGTGAGGGTGTTGTTTCCAAATGTGGCCATAATGCAGTTTTTCAGCCATTTCCTGCTCATAGAAAAAGGGGAGAACCGACAGAAGGAAGGTGCAGTGAGAAGGGATAGGGATGGACCTAAGCCAGGTGTCTCTCTACTTCTGATATTTGTGGTCATCCCACCTTTCCTTTAATTGCTTGTCCCTCTGTGTAGTAAATGCTGCTTTGACTGACCTCTCATTCTTGCTGTACTCCCTCCTCCTCTGCCACAACCTCCTTTTTGTCTCCAGACCTCGGTTCCATGTTTCCCTTCATCCCTTCTTTCCTGCCAGCTCCGAGTGTGGATGCAGGAACACTGCAATCAGTGACAAGTGCTCAGGTCTCTGAGCAAGTAGTGCTGGGATGAGGATTTAGGAATAATTGCATTTTACCAGAATTCATAACTGATTTCCAGAGGTAACTCATCAGCCAAGCATTTGTCTCTCTCCCTATCCCCATAACTGCTGAGAGTGGGGGAAAAAAAGTGATTGTTATGCCAAACTAATGAGCAAAGGGGTCAGAAAGTTTGATAAGAGCAGGAAAAATCATTTCCTGTGATATCATTAGCAGCATTTTAGAGAGCAGGTTCAGTAATTGCTGTGGTAATTCTGAATGGCTTTTGACTGTGAGAACACATAGGTATTTTTTAAAGTTAGAATATTTGCTAGTGGGAGAGAATTCCACTAAAATGAGGCAGTATGATGTTAGAGGTGGGGATGGGCTGTGGGCTTGGGAAGCAGGAGTTCTGCTCTGTGCTGTGTGACTTCTCCAGGCCTCAGTTTTTCTTCTCAGAATGGTCTATGGTAACATATATGTGTCAATGAGCAGCAAATTGTGAAGCAGGATGTAGCTGCCTCCCAAGGTGATGTCTCAGAGGGAGCAGATCTGTTTTGCAGATATTTCACTGTGTGCCTGTACAACAGCATCACGTGTTTGTTATTGCTGCACAAAGCCAGAAAGGGTGGCAAATGCTCCTTGTATGGGCAAATGCAAAATGTGCTGGAGTGAGCCCTGGCTTTAAAAGTTGGAGATCAAATTCTGACCTAGCAGCAGACCTGCTGATGGCTCCCCTGGGAGCGCAGCCAGGGTGTAGCACTGTGGGCCTTCTGCAGGTTGTTTTTGAGCAAAGTCATTGATATTCCTTCGGTTTTCCAGAGGTGCTTTTAACCTTCCAGGGAGTGAGAGCTGCTACAAATGTGTGTGCATGCTCATCCCCTTTGTTTTATACAGGTTGCTGCTCCTGGCTGGGTTTCTTCTTTCGAGCTTTTACCACATCTTTGTTTGGGTTTGCAAAATCTGCAAATCCCCCTGTGGAGGTGGCGAGCAAGGAGGAGAGGATGCTCTCCAGTCCACTTGGCCTCCCAGTGGCTGCCTGGGCTTTAATTGTGCCTTTCCCCCCTGCAGGTGCAAGCAGATGACCTACCCCGATGACCTGCCCCAGATCTCCGTGGTGTTCATCTTCGTGAACGAGGCGCTCTCGGTCATCCTGCGCTCGGTGCACAGCGTTGTCAACCACACCCCCTCCCACCTGCTCAAGGAGATCATTCTGGTGGATGACAACAGTGACAATGGTGAGCATTCCAAACTTTTCCTCCTGCTCTGTGATTTCTAGGTGAAATCAGAGGGTGTTTGGTCACTGCTGGCCAAAATGCTTATTTTTTAAACATTGGATGAAACACCTTTGAGTCATTCTGCATTTAAGTAACCACTTTACAGCTAATAATCATTGGCTCATATGTTGGTATAAATTAACATACCTCTATTGAAGGCTGTAGAATTTGCAAGGGTTCATGTTTGTTGATGAGAGGGGTTGATTGAGCCATTTGCACAAAGCTGTGAGTAAATATTGCCTGTTCATGTAACAAATAAACATTATGTGGATAAACCCTGTTGATTTCATTGAAATCCTCACAGAACAAATGACATTTGCATGGGCAGTCTTAGCAGGACACTTTGGTCCAAATATTCAGATCCAGAGGAACATTGTCATTAATAGACTAAAATTTTAAATTCTGCTTCCAGGGAAAAGTGGGGCTACAGATTGTCCCTAAAGATAGTTTCTGCTCCTTTACACAGTAGCACACTGTTTCTTCAGCATTTAGAGAGGTGTTGGTAATGTCAGATTTTGAGCCTGATGTTTTTTCTGGTTTTGAGTTAGGGAGTAAATCAGTGTCTGAGCATGAAACAGAACAGGCACAAAGCACCTGCAACTCCCAGGTCATCTGGTTCATTAATATAAAAACAGCACTTCTGCTGCAGAAATCCAAACTTATACATACATATACAGTGTTATAGATCAGCACAATACAATCAGGTTTGAAGAACTCTCTGGATATAAGGGACTAGTAGTGTTGTTGTGTTTTGTTATACCTTAGTCTTCTGGAACTACTGCATCCTCTAAAATCATATTTATTTAAAATAAGTCCAAAGTTTAGCATTTCCTCCACAGAACAGCAGCTGTAATTAAGTGTTTCAGTTTTAAGTTGCTCTCACTCCTCAAGACCCCCGAAGAGAGAGGAAGGCTGAGAGAAGAAAGAGCTCAAACAAAACTAAATTCCAAACCATACAGATTTAAGAAAAATGTTATGCAATTCAGATTTCACTTATGGCAGCGTGACCTATGGAGGAATTATGTGAGATTGCAGAGTGTTTGAGTCAGTGTAATAATGAGGAGAACTGAACTCATTGTTTCTCTGTGAACTCTTCTGTGGCTTTTCTCTGCTGCTCTTCCTGATAACTGGAGATTCATCAGGTCTTTGATTCCAGTGATAATGATTCTACTGGGTACTATAGATCTCAAGAAGGAGGATTTTAACACCCTGGAAGCTTATTCTAGTTTTCCTAATAAATACATTTGAGCAAAAGCCACATTATGAATAAGCTGCAGTGTAAATGAATTACCAAACTAGATTGATTTTTAAAAATAGAGAGACCATTTTGGTAATTTGCCTGTTTATAAACCTCTTGAAATGAAGCTGAAAAAGGGGTGAATGAATTTTGTTCTGTCTGTGGTTGAATGCCTGAAAATGAACAAAAGAGAAGTCTATTTGAGATCTTCAATATCCATGTTGTTCAACAGGAAAGAAGCCTGCTATTGAGGAGTCTTAATTATATTTAAGGGAAAACCCTAAAATGAAGAGAAATTAATTGTGATCTGAATTAGGTCTTGACCCAAAATCCATCGAGGTTATTTTTCAAACTCTTACTGAAGAGCATAAATCAGAACAAAAAATCACCAGACTCCCTTGTTACACTGCTTTGTAGCCAGAGTTGCTCCTCCAGAGGCCACTTGTAACCTAATGCAAGTCATCAGAGAATTAGAATAGTAATTATTGAACAACCACAGTACTTGGTTTGTATCTGTGAGAATGAGTAAGGCTTTGGGACTATTTTAAGGATCTCTTTCCCTTTCTGTTGCAGAATAAATTAAAGCAAAACATAACATTGTAGGGCTTTTCTCATTTTAAATATTTGTGGTTTGTTGGTTTGTTTTTTGTTTTTTTTTGTCCTGCAGTTGAGCTAAAATTTAATCTGGACCAGTATGTCAATAAAAGATACCCCGGTCTGGTGAAAATAGTGCGCAATAACAAGCGGGAAGGACTGATCCGAGCCAGGATCCAGGGCTGGAAAGCAGCAACCTCTCCTGTTGTCGGCTTCTTTGATGCCCACGTGGAGTTCAACATTGGCTGGTGAGTGCTGGCTGTGCCCAGGGGGAGGCTGGCTCGGTGACAGTGGGCCCTGGAGCTTTGGGCTGGAGGCAGATGGATGCTTTCAAGTGCTTTTTTTACCACCTTGTCATTTTCTGTCGTTTCGTCTTGGAAACTTGAATATCAGTCTGATTTCCCCATAAATATTCTTGCATTTACATTTGAGGGAAACATTAAATTATTTCCTGCGTTTTTAATGGAGCTTGAAATTAGTGCACCTTTCCTCACCCCCCTTTTGGTTTGCAAAAGGGAAGCACAGTTTTGGGTTTAATGGGCCAGATCTGCATTTGGAGTAAACCTTTGTAGCACCACTTGGTGGCCAATATTTTGCATTACTTGATGTTGGGACTGAAGGAACTGATATGTACAGTCAGCTGAAAAAGGGCTGCTGGGACCTTCAGCATGTAAAATGCGTGTTTTCCAAAGATAGGCTGTTATTTGATAATGATGATGCAGAGTTATGGTTGAAATGATTATGCTCTGCAATTCTGGGAGATATCCTCAAATTAAAACTAAAAATAGCTGCACTTATAACTAGGGAGAAACTTAATTGCAAAAGAGTGGAGTGTTTATTTTTATATGTTCATGAATATCTTTATAAAATGGAAGATGCAGTAAAATAAGTCTTGTAGTGCACCTGGTTTATGTTCATCCCATTTTTTTCCCTGGGACTATGTTAAGACTGTATTAGCAGTCATAGTAGTTTTCTGGAAGCTTAAGAGCTGGCTTAAGTTATTTATTTACTTTTAAAGCGAGTAGATCTTTCAAATCATTGCAAACATTCATCTAGGGTAATGTCAGCTATGGGACAGGATTGAGGACTGGGGGGAGCGTGCTCTGGGTGCTGTTCCCAGTGCTTGTCCTGCCCAAGTTGCAGTTTCCTCCTAGTTTTGGAGCTGTCCACATGCAGGTGCCTGTCAGCTCCATTTTAATCTAATCTACTTTTACTGGGAGGGACTAAAGTCCTTCCATCTGGTCTACTTTATTTTTCCCCACCAGGTCACAATTACCTGCACTCCCAGCCCTGTAAACTTGGGAGTGAGGCAGGAGTCTCTTGTTAAAGTAAAACTGCTGTTCTGTCCTCCTGCTTAGTTGCATCTTGCATGAATATTTCCCCCCATTTTCAGTGCGTGTTTGTGTATTCAGAGGCCACACGGATTGCTCCCACTCAAAGCTGTCTATGGATTATTTGTGAGGCAATTAAAAAGAAGCCAATTCCTTTTACCACAGAAAAGAGTATTAGCTTTCTGTTTGGTTTGTGTTCCATCTAAAAGTCAAGTACCTGCAGTGCAATTCTAGTCTTCCAATCTGTGGCTGCTTTACCTGCCTAATCAGTTGGCAGATTGATTTGGATAGAATCAAAGAAGGACTTCTTCACTTTCTCATGAAATATGCAGGACCAATAACAAAAAAAAACTTCTTTAAACAATAGTGGCCCATTTACAGGTGAATTTTTGCCTTACTTCTCACTGTAGCATTTTGTGGGCTCGCACAGCATTACTCTCCAGGGACACTTCTTCTAAACTAAAATACAGTCTGGTAGGATATAAAAAAAACGCTCTACAACCTGGCAGGTCAAATTAGCTATTGAATTATTTATTTTGCTGTGCTTAATTGCTGCTTTTTGGCTTCTCAGGTGTAGAAATATGTTATTGCAGAGCGGTGATTTTCGACTGACCTGTTCCCCTCAAAGCTTTTGATAGTGTGAGCCAATACTGCTGCTGTGAGAGGGAAAGTGGAGAGGACTGCCTGCAAGGGAGGCCATTGCAATTAATTCTCAAATGGAATTTTAAACTAAAATTACATGGTAATGTACGTGTACAGCTCATGTGTAAAATTCTACCCCTCCTGCAGCAGAACCAGGTCTGGTTTTAATGGTTACTCAGCAGGGGTCAGCAACCCAGCAGCAGCAGTGGGCACGAAAAGCTCCTGTCCTTTCCTCTCTGAGGGTATATTTAAGCTGGTAGAGCTCAGTTTCCCTTCAGTCCTCTGAAGATTTCAGCTTTCCTGCCCTGACTTTTGTATTGGGTCCACCCACTGAGTGCTAACCCTGAGTGCAGAGCATCCCATCCTGCATGCTGATTGTGTTGCAGAACATGTAGAGCACTGTACAGGCTCCTGTCTTTGAGAGATGGGATGGAATAACAGGAGGAGGAGAAGAGAACTTCCCTACATTGTGTCTGGGAGCAGGAAAGAGGGATAGCAGAGTCAGGGTGTTGATTCTCTGGGTGAGAAAAAGGACACATTGAGTGAAGGAGAGCAGAAATCAGTAAGTGAAAGGCAGAAACCACAATATATTAGCAGCCATAAAGAGGGTGCTAGGAGCCATAAAAGAAGACATAATGATAGAGTATTATAGTTACAGTCTGTCTTAGGAATTGCTTTTGCTCCTATCACTGAGGTAATATCAGAGCACTGAATGGAGTTATGCAGTACTGTAGTAATTAAAATTTTGCCAGACAAAGGGGGAGTATCAATAAGGAAGCAGTGAAGTAAGAGGGTTTAATCAAAAGATTTCAATATAACAGAGAGACAGAGACAGCCTGACAAGAGAAAGAGAACCTGAGATATAAGCTCAGTATCCATCAGCTTGTGTCACACAGACCCCATCATTATGGATTATGCCTGAAGTTGGCAGTGTTTTAAAAATAGAGAAAACTGGTGTTTTAATGAACTAAGAAGGACTAAAGATCAAGATCCCCAGGTCTGTGGGTGATACTTTGCAGGTGCCACTTTACACTGAAGGATGCAGTGCAATTTGCTGTAGTGGCTGTGAGCAGTGGACTCCTGAAACGGTGTGTAAAGCAAAAAGGAAGTTGATTCAAGCTCAGTTGGGTCTTTGGGGACCTGGTAAAGTCCAGCTGGTTCTTTCTTTCTTTCTAGTGAGAGAAGTGGTGAAGGCAAGAGCAAAATTACCTTTGCAGCCCTTCCCCTGTGCATCCCCTCCCCTCTGGAGGGTTCAGGCACATCCCCCCTACCAGGGTTGAGCTGGGATGTTTTATTTATGCAGAGGAAAGGACACGTGTTTATTAAGGGAGTTTTTTCTCATCCAAAGCCTTTGGATCAGTTTGGTAACTTAATGGAATACATGTTTCAGATAGCATTAAAAGTGAATTAGCATTATGTGAGTGGAGAGGGAAGTGTGAACAAAAGCCATGTGGCCCCTTCAGATCCATGGGACGGTGCCAGCCTGCACAGAGAGGACGTACCAGGAAAGCAGCTTCAACTCCTCATCTACCTCAAGGACCTAGAGTGTTCACTGGAGCATCCTCACTGCTTTTCAGTGGTGCAGAAAGGAGCCACTGAGATCTGGCAGCCAAAGAGCTGATCTGTAACTCTCCAGCAGGCGTTTCTGCCACGTTCTCTCCGGTCTGGCTGGGGGGTGCGGGTCTGAAACTTCCCCGGGCACACGGGAATGCTGATGGAGGTGTCAGGGAGAGCAGGTGGGGAATTCCTCTCTTTTCCTCTTAGAGACCGAGGAAGGGAGTATGAAAATTTATTTCTTTTTCAGTTCTCTGAACGCTTCTTTACAGGAAAGGCATTCTGCATGAAATATTCCTCAGATGGCCTCAGTGAAGAATTATGTGTGTCAGTAGATCTGCTTGTCTGCATCTGATAAATGTATATTGCCAGGGAAATGTGAGGTAGCGTATAAAATCATGCAAAATAAGCTTTCAGTTTACACAGGTTTGGTTTTTTTTCTTACATTTCTGTGGTAAGCTTACACTTCATGGTGTCTGGCAGTGGTAGAGCCAGAGTAAAATATGGTGTTAAACCCACCGAGCCATGAAATCTAGCAGGTGAGAGACCATGTTGTCTTTCTTTTATGTCTTGTAAGGACTCTTCCTTAAATGCTTGCAAAGAAAAAGAAATTCTGATTTGTGAGAGCTGAAAAAATAGAGGTTGGCTTTTTTTTTTTTTTTTTAATGTTCATTCTTCATTTTTTATTGGAGTAAAAATTAGCATTGTGGTGGGGGAGAGGAAAAAAATATACATGCTTATCTCAAAAGAACCCAAAAATCAGATCCACTTAGGAATAGGGCAGAATTTGAGAGACATTCCCCAGTGCAATTTCTGTCATTTAGGAAAGGATTTACTTTTTGAACCAGTTTAGAAAAAGTGGCGAGGAATTTATTGACAAATGCCTTGTACAATCATTCTAATTAAGAACTGGAGAGTGGGCTTTGCTTCTCAGATGCTGCATGTTAGCAAAGCATCCCTGAAGCTGTGAAGGCTGCTGAAGTAGCAGAGTTGGGCAGCCCTCTGGCCTTCAGCAATCGTGTGGTTTCCCTTGGATTGTGTGCATTTATTCCTACCTTGTGCCTTTTTAAAAGTCTGCCTGAAGTCAGCAGGTGTTTTTACATATTTTAAAAGGTGAATTATATAATCATGTGCACTGAGGAGCTCATAACTAACTTCTTTTTACCTGGTTTGGTGGTGTTTTGTTTTTTTTTTAATCTGGAAGAAGCTGTTCTTTTTAGCATTGTGGAAAATCAGACTTCCCCATGGCATGAATTCTCGGGCAATCTGACAAGGATGTGAGACAGCACACGGTTTTTGTTTGCTGTGCTTTCCCGTGGGGTTTGAGCTGCTCTGAATCAACCCAGTGTTAAATACAGAATGCATATAAGTTCAGAGATAGACTTACAATGGGATTAGAGAAGCCTGTGTTATCACAGTTTGGCCCCTTTGCTCTCAGTCTCCTTACAGGCTTATTCTGTTCTCTGTGTTAAATTCTGCTTTTCACCTCCGTTTCTACCTCCAGTGTTTATCCTGGGAGCACTCAGTCCTTGAGACCCACAGTTCTGGCATTGCTGGAACTCCCAATCAAGTCATCAGGGCTGTTCGACACCTTGGAAAACCCAGTGTTAATGCAGAAATCTTTCAAACCCAAGTGAAAACACCCTTTAGCCTAGTGGGGTCTGTGAGAGAACTGAATTTACTGTCCTTTCTCTTCTGGCTTTATCCATTCATCAGCAATCTATTCAGAGTGAGAGGAGGACACTGACAAATATATATTTTAAGAGAGAATGGAAGGGAGGATCTTCATATGTCATTCATATTCCAGTCCAAATTGTCTGCTTGGTTTTTATTAGGTGAAAAAAAACCCACTGGCTGCTGTGAAGCACTACCCTTAAAGCTGAATCTTTTGATTATATTTAGTTTCCTGAAATCCATCATGTCTGTGAATGTGCCTGGGAGAACTTTTGCTCTTGCTCCAGTAAATAACTTGTTAACAATCCATGCTGCTCTGTGCCCATAAAGCACATTGACTCAGATACAAGGTAGGAACCGAATATTTTTGCCTCTGTGAAAAATAGAGATGAATCTCAAAGTTCACATCTGGCTCATGTACCTGATCAGGCAGGGCTGAATCCTCCCTCGCTGCCAGCGCTGGCCACGTGGAAAGAAAACACCCAAACAACACTCTGCAGCTCATCAGCACACCGTGCAGAGCATGTTTGGGCTTCAGCAACCCCTTTCCCTCTGTCCTGTCGGTCCTGTGAGCTGCCAGGAGCATCTGGAAGCCCTCGTGTTTCATGGATCACCCAAGAGAAGCAATGGAAACACAGTCCATTGCTCAGTCCTTTTTCACTGGCCATCACCTGGGGATCTTGGCAGGCAGGAAGGCAGAGCTCAGACAGTGCTGGGGGTGAGAGGGCACTGCCAGGAGCCAGGATTGGAGTGTTCCTGTGGATCTCACTGAGCTGAGCTCGGGCTGAGCATTCGAACCCCCCACTGCTACCTCTGCTGTCCTTCATAGGCAGGACAGCTGGGAAATCTCTCAGGTGTGCAATGTTTAATTAAAAGGCTCTCCATTCTGGGTTATGCTAAATAACACAGAACAGCTCTGTCCTGGATTTTCTCTTTCCATCTGTGACTCAGAGCCTGCTTTCTTTCTTGTGGGCATGAACATATTTTGGAAGTTAGATAGCTGTGCAGTCTGTCCATATACTGAGCCTTGCCTGTTCCTAGTACCCACAGGGATATGATTTCCACACAGAGGTAGAAAATCACCTCCATGGGTGAGATGGGAGGTTTAGGAAAGGAAGTTCCCAGCAGTTGCTTTCATCCCAATTCACTCCATAACCTTGGCATGGCATAACTCGAGGGCAGAGGTTTTGGAGAAGTTGTGCCTTAGACATTTGCTTTTCTGGAGTGCAGGGGACAGAAGCAGAACTTTGGTCACATGGACAGCTTACAGACGCCTCAGATTTCATGGAAGTTCAAAATCTGGGATTTCACATCAATAGATTGATAAGAGATTAATGGAATTTCATCGTGTATTTTGACCCAACTGTTGCATTACGCTCCAGACATCCCTCCTTGTGCCATTCAGATGCAAAGCCCCATGTCAGGTGGTAATAAATGTGAGTCATACAACTGGAAAAACACAGAAATTGGTCAACTGTAGAGTGACAGGAGTAGTTTGGTGATGGCTGGTGTGAGAGCAGCCCCAGAGCTGAGAATGGATTCTTCTTTGTGCAATGAGGAAAATGAGGACTCAGGTTAGCATTTCCAGGACTCAAGTATTGATTAACACAATCACAGATATGATTAAGGGCTGAAAACCAGAGTGACTGTTAAATATTTTCTTCACATTCTTTCTCTAACCACTATTTGGGATACACTTCAGCAGTCCAATTTTAAGCTGTCTTGCAAAGTAGCAGGCTAAATTCTCTTTATATTCAAAATAATTCAACATTGTTAATCTCACCTAGTTTCAGTGTCTGCATTATTATGAGAAGCATCTGACTATGAATGTGCCAGCCTCCATCTCCCTCTGCTGAGAATGAAGATTTGAGGCTGCTACCTTGGGTGTGGGGAGTCCTTTGCAGGCATCTGACATTAAGGGAGGAGAATTCCTTATCTCCTTTTGGCTTTTGCTTTGCACACAATCTCAGTCTACCCTACAAAGCAAAATACTTGAAAAATAAGCACGCCAGGAGGAACTGTAGAAGGAATGTGGAACCCCCAGGATAGTTTTAAGTATGATGGTTAAACAGTCTTGTTCTGTGATGAGGGTCCTGCTCCAAGTGCTTTGCATGGAGGGTGATCTGCACCAAGGTTGTTTTTTTTCTTTAAAACCTTGAAGAGGAGGATTCTTCTTCCAGTCAGACAATTAGTGGCCTGTCATTAGTGACACCAATACCTGTTGCTTGGTATTTTGAAAGCCTGTGTTGCAGAGGCCAGAAGGGAGTTGGGGGCACTGGATTTGTGATGGGAATCTAAGGTGATAACCACAGATAACATGATGGAAAGAATTAAGCAGAATCAGCTTTCCTGCATTAGTCCCTGCTTTGTTGGATTTGCAAGAGTTTTTCTGCTGTCCACCCACTGGTTTTTAAAACATTTAATCTCATAAATATAATCTCATATTGACAACAGAAGTGGCTTATCCTGATTTGGAAGGTCACATTGGCTCTTTATGGGGTTCCCAAGTGTGGCCTAAAGACCACATGAATTGAGAGTCTGAATCATGACCTGCACTGTCCTGAGTCTCTCTCAGTTGTTTCTTGTTTCTCCCACAAGAAAAAAAACCAAACAAATCTCCTTTGAGTCTGGGGTACAACTTTTTAAATGTCATGCAAAAACAAAACCAAAACAAAACCAACCAAACAAACAAAAGTATTGCCAAAAACAGAGCTGAAATCACTGTCCTCCTTTAGGCTGCTGAGCTTTCATGCTTCTGTGGAGGTTTTTAGTACCTTGCAGGACCTTGGGCTTTGACAATATAAGTACTGCCCCTAAAATTGTAGGTGACAAGCAGTTGTAAGGGTGACCTCAGGCCATTCCAGTCATGAGGGATCCATTGATTTATTCCCAGAATAAATCAAGGAGGGTAACAAAACAATATGTGTTGAATAGGGCATGGGCATCTCTTTCATAACCTTCCTGGCCAGAGGAAATTTCTGCAGCTTGCAACATTGTTCTTTTTGTCCCACCATGCTTGTGATCATCCTTTTTATTAAAACATCCATTCCCTGTGTGGTTGGCATCCAGCTGATAAACTCAAATGTCAGTTTTCTGGAGGAATCCAAATGAAACTAGTTTGACCCTCTTGCACTTCTCTCCAAATGCAATGCTGTGACACCTTCTTTTTGTCAGTTATGCCCTTATTTTACATTGTTTTGTGATGGTTTATTTGCAGTAAGCAGCTCATCATCAAATATTCGAGGGTTTCACTGAATCTGGGTCTGTTTTTACTAGTGTAGGAGCAGTAAAAAGAAGAGAAGGCAAGCAGTACACAACCTCATGTAAGCAACAGGGAGACTGTGTACAAAATGACAAATATTTAGCTGTATTCAATTACAGAGACATTTCTGTCTTCTTACAGAAGAGATCACAAAATTTATGACAGTTCAGACAGAGGCAGTGAAGACTGAAAATGCAGTTTGAATTAAATTCATAGCTTTTCCCTTTCTGTTGGCCTACACGAGAAAATTCATGGTAACAAACTAAATATAACAAACAAAATATAAAGTAACAAACTCGAAACCATGAAGGAACAATTGCCTTTTAACCAACAGCAAAAGAAAAATGAGAAAAGATCAGTGTTCAAATCCCACTGCCTTTGTGAATGGCAGCAAACCCTTAAAGATACATGTGAGAGCTCTGCAAAAGCTTCAAAGCTTATTTCAAGGGGAAACACAGTTACAAAGGAGTGAACCAGTGGCTGTTTCTAATACTACTTTGAGGAGTGATTTCCACCCTTATGTAAGTCTGCTACCTCTTTGGATCACTTTCTCTGTAAATTCGTAGCGACTTCAGACTACCTTGGTCAGAAATGAGTGTTTGCACTGAAGCTTTTTACTTTCCTTTTGGGATGTAGCTTCTGTTGAAAGCACATTGATGTTTTAAAGCCTTTTGAAACGATGGAACATTTCCTGCAGTTCGCTGCTTTTGCACCATCTGGTAACTGAAATCTTCTCATCACCAAAGAGGTTTTAGAAGGAATAATGCAGCCACACTTGTCATTCAAACTAGATCCGGTGGGGTCAGTCCTTAGGAAACAAGATTAAAACCTTTGAGTCACCTTCAGATTCGTGCAGCCCTTGGTGTGTGTTTAGTTCTCCAGGCCATGTCAGCCAGAGCTGGTGTTTAATCGCTACCAGGAGTCCCGGTGGTGTGGCCAGTGAGACCATTCAACTGCTCGTGGTGATGGTGTCTCTCAGCACTTGCCCATTGTGAAATGAATTAATGGCTCTCCAGGCCTCAGAACAGGTGTGTGGTCAGGTTTTGTGTTGTTTAACTCTGGTGCAGGTTCCTGTGCAGTTGCTGTGTGAAGTGTCCCCCGCCCGTCAGCGATGTGGATTCGGTCCCTCCCGGGCAGCTCTGGGCTGCCACCTCGCTGGGTTAATGCTTGCAGCGTTAGAGAACCTCGTTTTATCAGCCTGCCAGGCAGGACCTGGGATTACTGGGTGGCTGTAAAACATGTCGCTGTTTTTATTGCTCCCAGGGTGGAACCCGCGCTTACCCGGATCAAAGAGGACCGAAAGCGGATCATCCTGCCGGCCATCGACAACATCAAGTACAACACCTTTGAAGTGCAGCAATACGCCAACGCAGCCCACGGCTACAACTGGGGGCTCTGGTGCATGTACATAATCCCACCCCAGGACTGGCTCGATAAGGGGGATGAGTCAGCTCCCATCAGGTAAATCTCCCGTGTGCTGTCACTTCGGGACTAGCGGCGCTCCCATCTCAGCTGTCTGCCAAGGGGAACTGCAGTGGAAAGCAAGGCTAAAGGCTTTGGGCAGGGACAGAGAAAGGGGACTGGGGAAAACAGATGGCTCTGCAAAGCTGGGGGTGCGTGTTGTGCCTCTCAGAGCTGCACCACAGTGCACACAGAGGGGCATGTGCTCTAGCTGTGAGTGTGTGCTTCAAGTTCACATTGTGGCCCTTTGGTAGGACAGCGGGATCTTTTTCATCTAAGCTTTCATTTTCCAGTGGACTCTGGCACGAGTGTTAAGCCAGTGAAATGTTGTGTGTATGAGAAACAAAGGTGTTGTGTGTATGATTACAAAGAGGCTGGTTTCACTTCTGGTCTATGGGCAGCAGTCTTGGCCATCAGCCCAAACCAGAGCTTCCCATGAGCACCAGCAGGAGCTGTGCTGGCCTTGCTCTGTTCAAGAGTTGCTCTTTTCTTTATTTTTTTGAGAACTTTCCATGCATGTTCTGAGTTTTTCTACTGGTTGGATTTTAAAATGAACCCAGACCACGTAGTCAGAGTGTAATTTTATTTTTCTCTGTAAGAGAGCAGCATTTTACATTACAGAAATGGAATTTTCTAAGGAAATGCTGTTACAGGAATTGTGAAGGTGTTTTTGAGAATTGTTACAGTGGGAAAACAGGAAGCTGTGTGAAAAGGGCTTTCTTTCCCCTTCATTTGAAAATTCACATCTCCAGCCTTTCATCTCCTCCTCTTGTCTTAACAGCTCCTCTGAGATGCTACTGTACTTGGTTAAGGGTACTGTTGTTAGGAACTGTTGAAATAAATGCTAAAAAATATGAAGCCCTGGTATGCACTTTAGATTGCTCTGCCCTATTTTTAAGGTTTCTTGGGAAGGACACAATTTACCACCTCAGATCCTTCTTCATTTTCATGTATATCACCTCCAAATTAAAGTGCTGTGTGGTCCCAGAGTGGGCTCTGGCAGAGAAGCTGATCTGCTTCCCTTCCAGTGTAAAGCTCGAGTTGTCAGGTCCTGTCAAGTTCACCCAAGCACTTCAAACAACACGCCCACCTTCTGAAAAGATCCAGGTGATCCTTTGGAGTTGAAAAGACACAGACAAACCGATCCCATCAGCTGGATGGGACCACCTCACAGGATCTGTCCCTCATGCAGAATAATATTTCAATCTGTATTTGAGCAAGTTGTACTTAGGTTCATTCTCATGCTCTGTGACTGCAAAACAGAGCTATGCAGTAACATTAACCTTATTTACTAGAGGACAGCACAGTCCATCATCACTGACCCTTTGCTCGGCTTGAAACCTCAATAAGCAGGAAAGTAATTACTTAGGAAATCAGTTTTCCTGGATAACATGCCCTGCTCGCCTCACATTGCTTTAAAGGTGCAGGTGTTTTATACCTGTTCCACTCAGCCCTGAGAAACAGGTTATTGATGAATGAAAATTAATCAGCCAGAGATTTCATTCCTGAAACCAGGGTTTCAGTCTTCCACACCTGAAAGGTTTTGCACACTTCATGACTTCCAGTTTACACAGGAAATCTGTGTTAATCTGTACAGCATTAATTTTCAGATGGATTGCTCCAGTATTTGAGTATCTTCTGCTCTGGAGACAATGATCAAGTACCAGAAAAGAATGAACCAAGAGGTTAAATCTCAGCAAGATCTTAGACATTATTTCAGTGGTGGTAGGTCATGCACTCCCTGAGGCATGGAAGCTGCCCCTGCAAAGCACTTCTGGAAATCCAACTGCAGATCTTTTTAACAGAGGATGAGGAATCTCATCCCTGTATTGCTGAAGCATTTGGCTGTTGGGTTATTCCTGCCTGTGGAAATACAGTGCGATTTTGTGGCTTTTTAAGTGATAAGCCAGTGTAATTGTGTTAATGGGAAGAGTGAATGTGTGAGTGTTATTGAGGAAAAGAATCAGGAAACCTGTGCTTAGGATTGAAATTTGAAAGCACCCATGATAGGAAGGCAGTAGCTTAGGGTATTTAAAGTATATTTTCAAAGGAAGGCAAAGTTAGTTTTTAAAATCTCTGTTGGTTTGGTACAGATTTTGCTTTTGTAACCAGCTTTCCCAACCACGTATTGAAGAATATATTTCTATTTTAGTCCACTTTGCAAGAAGTGCAAGCAGGTCCACACTGATGGTGTTTGGACCCATGTGTCTGGTACTTCATAAGATTGCAGGACTGTTCATCAGCATGAAAACTGCAAGTTCATTTAGTCCTCACTGTTCCTCTTAAGGCTTCCTTTGACACTGTCTTCAGCAGCCATTGGGTTTGGTTGGTGCCTCTTTGTGTGTTTTGTGAAAGAAAAGGCTTGTAATGAATAACCCCAGGACTGGGTTTGTGGTTGGTGTAGCTGAGTATTTCCTGCCAGATCTCCAAAGGGATTAAAGATTTTCAGTGTTATGAAATGTGTGTACTCTGGTATCAGTGAGGATGAGAGCCCTGGCATTTCTCATGTTTGCACTGTATGAATAAATACCATCAATCTGCAGAATTGGGTGAGACATTTAGAAAGCAGGGTCCGATTCCTGTTTTCTTCTGGGACTACACAACAGATGTGCTTACTTCTTTCCTAAGATTTTTTTTTTCTGTTTGAAACCTGATCCTCTGATTTCTTGAATGCTGACAGTGGTGTGATCCTACACAGAGCCTCGCTGGGAAGGAGCAGGGACTGTCCCTCATGCCAGCAGGGCACTGTATCAGCAGTCATGTCAAGTTGTGCACCATGAAATGTCACAGCAGCTCTTGTGGTCTAAATGACAATGGGAACGTGGCCTTGAAGTGCTAACAAAGGTAAAGAAACAGCAAGAACAAAGTGTCAGATTTTGTAAAGATTTCAGATACACTTTAAAGTCGGTTCTTTCTCTTCCCCCACGTTAACGCTCTGAACTTCAGAACAATTGATGTTCCCTGAATCGGCTTCTGCAGGCAATCCATTTTACATGTCTGACATTTGAGATGTGAGACGTCCCCAACATGAAGATTGTTATTCTGACACGCTGTGTCCATCCCATCACTTCCCATTCGTGTTCCTGAGAGCGCCGCTGCCCCAAAAAACGTCCTGATCATCTGGCAGCAAACTGTGTGGCAAAGGATCCTATTTCTGAGGGCTTCGAGTGAATTTGACTATGCATTGAAACCCAGCTGGGGTTTTTCATGCATGCTGTATTTTTTTTTCCCTGGGTTTTGGAACAGCAAGGAAGGGCTGTGGTATTCTGAGCTCTGGCTCTGCCTCGTCTTCCCTCACCTGCCGCGATTATGATGGACTGCTCCGCGCTTGGTTTCTTGATCAGCAGCCGCTGACATTGGAGTCATTAGGCAGCCTCTCTCAGCCAAGCCCTGCACAGCTCTCCATTTTATCTTCCTCCAGCAGCAGTGGTGCATTTCATTGTTGCATATGTCCTCACTTACAGCTTTAATCTGCCACAGCTTGGTACCGGTGGGAACGTGTTTTTACACGCGCCGCGTCAGCCTCTCGAGGGAGCGCCGTGTGTCCTGCTCAGGTGTACAAATTAGAGTCCGATGTGCCCCCAGTGGAGTGTTTTGTGCTGCTTCCTTTATCTGGGGGGTGTCTGCCCATCTCAGGTGCAGCCTGTAACAGAGCAGTTTCTCTTTTATTTGCCCAGGTTCCGATGGGTGTCCAGCCTGTTCCAAAAAATACACTTCCCTGGGTCATCAGAGAGTTGTTTTACATCCATGTTTGCCCTGCCTTTCTAGCTGAACATTAGCTTTCATTTTTTTCCCCTCTAGCTCCTGAGGAGCAAATCTGTCCTTGGGTTCTGTTCTCAGGGCCTGGTGAAACTCCTTCTTGCAAAAGACAAGAGTGGTAAGAAAAAAAAGTATTTATGCAGGTACCCTGCAGATTTCCCCACTTATGTGTCAGGCCAGGAGTGAGGTGCTGCTTAAGAACCTGAATCAATGAAACATTCTGCCAGGGGAGGTGGAAAACTCGGAGGTATGGCAGGTGATGTGTCATTTGAATCTTGTTCCCTCCCTCCTCATTCCTGTATATATACATTTACGTTTATATATTTATCTATAGTGGCATTTATGTTTACATTTATGTATTTATGTCTGAGCTGTTTGTCAGTTGTCCTGGAAATTGGACTTGGATGCTCTGGAAACTGTTTCTTATATGACATGATTGCATGATGTAGATGTAGATATAGATATGTAGATATATATATCTATACTGACCTTAAGGCAGGGGAGAAGGATGCATAAGGGAGAGGAAGGTTTCCCATATCACGTGCAATATGTCAGTCTGGTGCTTATCCCTTTCTCCTTGGCTTGTTGCTGATGGAGCCCCCAGGCAGGATCCTCCAGTTGTCTGTGAAGGGAAAGAGGGAGATGCATCTGGCTGCAGAGATGGGTTTGGCACCTGCTGGAGTTTTGCTGACAGAGCTGTGCTCCTGGGGATCTCACTAAAACAAAATAGTTGTGACTCAGACCTACAGCAAGTGCTGTCCCTGGCCAGCGTGCCCTGTGTTTGTGGTGCCTCAGCCCAAAGCAGGCACTGCCCTCTCCACACTGTGCCTCTCTGCCCTCCAGCTGCCTGCACTGCATCTGCTGCAACAGGCAGGGAGGGAGGGAGAGTTCACACAGCCTTTCCCCAGGGCATTTCCCAGAGTAATGTCTCTCTTGTATTTCCCTTGCTACAACCATGCTATCAGGTAATTTCCACAAATTGACTGTGCTGTGTCTTTCTCCAGTGCAGAATCACTATGATTCTATGCTGCTTTTTAAGCTTTTAGCTGCAAAACCCATCTTGCTGTGTTTCCCACATTATCCTTCGAGTGCTGCTGTTGATTATAATTAATGCTTAAAACATCCTCAGTTGTGTCAAAGAATACTCCACAGCTCAGTTAAGTTTCACAACACCTTTGAGGTGTTGGTAAAAAATAGTGCACCTCTAATTGCTATTTTGTGATACCTTCCTTCTAAAAATGTCGCTGTTTTGCTAGAAAGTGCATGGTTAAGGAAAAAGGTTGCTTTATGTAAAGGAGGTGTTGTTAAGTTTAATATATTGTGCTCTGAAGCTGTGAAGTGCTAAGGGCGTGCACTTCTCACGTGCTGCCCCTTGGCTGGTGAGCAGTGGTTGAGGCATGCTAAGGTAGCTGTTTTTCTGCTCATCTATCCATTTCTAGCTTTCAAGGAAAGTCTGCTGCACTGCACTGGAAGTGGGAGATATATTCTGGAGTGTTTCAGACACCAGGAAAACCCAGTGCTGACAGCCAAGTGAGCTGGGTGGGGTTCCTTCTGTCCTTGTGCTGCTGTTGTTGCTGAGTCCTGAAAACGATTTTTTTTCCTCAACAAACCATGAAGGCTTGTGGAGTTTATTTTTGAATATATCTAATGAGAAGAAATAAAGCCTAGAAGGGAGAGAGGGAGCTGCAGAGGCAGCCCTCAGTGGCATTGGGCTGTGAGTGATGATTATGTAGCTGCATCCAAAATGCGTTTCCCACCCCCATTCAATTAACAACTCGGTGTTTTAATGGACAGAGCCGACAGCTGCAAAAATCCATCCCCCAGAGAGAGGGATTCCAGCACCTGAGAGCAGTCTGCAAAGCCTGGCAGTACCATCCCTCATTAGGAAGGGAGGAGATCCATCCTCATGGGAGCATCCTGCCGCTGTAAGGAGCTGCCTCCAGAGGACTTCTGAGAGGGAGACAGGGCTGGGAAAAGAGTGAATCTAAACCCAGACCAGCATCTCAGTTTTGCAAAGCAGTGATGCCTTAATCCAGTGAAGCCCGTGTTTAGCTTTCAATACATAAAAAGGAAAATGAAAAAAAAGTGGTGTGGGTTTCTTCCCCCGTCGTCTTCCTTTTTTTATCATGATCTTAAGAAATATACCTGAAATACTCCCTCAAAGGCATTGCAAAGGCACTGAATTTCCTTATCTTGGTCTCCTTTTATTTCTGTTTCTAGACTAAATGTATTCCTTGTTAGCCTAAAATATGGTTTTCATTAGGAAAGGGATAGGACCTTGAGGTATATATGGGATATGTCTGGTCCTGAGCACAGGAGAGCTCTCACCCTCTTTAGGCACATCTGTTTCCAGGATTGGCTCTAGGAAGTATAAGGAGGAAGATGCATTTTATCAAATAACTTGAATTTATAAATGCCATCCATCTTGCAAAGATCCTGGGATGTGCATCAGCAGAGGATGGAGGTGCCCAGCCAGCAGTGCCCAGGACCATGAGTGGTTTCCACAGAGCCTTGAGACCCCTTCTAACTGATTCAACAGAAAGCCTTCACAGATAACAGCAGCAAACAGAGAAGTACTGGAATTCCTTGCACACACAGAAAGGGGACTCTGGGTGTGGCAGGGGTCCAAGCACTGAGGGTGCTGTGGTGACCCTGCTGCCGTTTCTTTGTAGGGTTTGTGGCATCTGGCCTCAGTTTCCTCCATCCCTTTTGATGGAATGAGTGCAGGGGTCTCCTGAGAAGCCCCACATCAGTGCAGAGACATCTGTGAAAGCCAGATGTTTGCTGTTGTAACCACCATTAAATCTTGTCCTCAGCTCATCATCCAGGGAATGCATCTCACTCTGTAAGGGTGAGAGTTAATCAAGCTATTTCAACTTCTTTGTCAGAAACAGTGCTGATCAAGTGTGTTTCTATCAACAGCTGCCTTTTTCAATTATGCAGAGGAAACATGAGAGGGACAGTGTGCACTGCAGTACAGGCTTGGAATGATCTGGGAGGTGGCAGGGGCTTTCAAACTGAGAAAAAGTGCAAAGGAGAGATGCTGAAGTGGTACCAGGAGTGCCAGTGCCATTACAGGCAGCAGAACCTCAGCAAATGAACCTTGTCACGAGTACCAGATAGTTCCTGCCACAGGGTGGGCTCTGTTCTGCAGTGTCAGGATATGCATCAGGCCCAGCAGCAAAGAACTGTTTTGTCAAACCATGTCTTGGCCGTTTGTTTGCAGCCTTTTTAACCTCCTGCTGTAGAAATGGTGAACTGCTGATGAGAAAGAGGACCTGATGTGATGACAACATTCCTGCAGCCACCTGCTGCCACCGGTGGGACCCACCAACACGCGGGGGAAAAAAATATGTTCATTTTCCTTTAAAATGTAAACCTTAAGACCAAGAACTACTTTATCTGTGTAAATTGCTTACGAGGTGGGTTCTGTAACAGCTAAGAAATGACTCAACTTTTTGCTTTATTCTCTCTGTGCAGGACACCAGCCATGATTGGATGCTCCTTCGTGGTGGACCGAGAGTATTTTGGTGAGATTGGTTTGCTTGACCCTGGTATGGAGGTCTATGGAGGGGAAAACATCGAGTTAGGCATGAGGGTGAGTAACAAAGACGAGACTTTTGCCGTGTCCATCTGCAAGGAATGACGGGGAGCTTGTGGCCCAGCAGAACTGCTGCCTGACTGATAGGCTATTATGCTGGAGTAATTGATATTGCAACACTGTCTGGAACTGACAGTGCCAGTAAATGAATGTTCCTGGCCTTGCTGGCCCTGAGAGATCTGATAACAGTCAGAAATGTGGTTTATTGGTTCATTCTGTCAGTGTCTGAACCCAAAGAGAAAGATTTTCCCCTCTCCCAGTAGCTTTGCTTGTGCAAACAGCTCCACTAGAACTTCTGTGCTTGTTGCCTTTATCTGATGTTGTACATTTGTGGCCTAGCAGATGCAATACCTGCAGAAAACTGAGGCCAGGCTGGTAGAAGTCAGTTGTGAGGTTCTATGTATGACATGTGATGAATGCTGGGATATTTTACAGCTTTATGGAGTAAGAACTATGGGGTGCAGGTATTCGACCCTGTCAGATAGGTCCATGGGAAGTGTGGACAGATGGCTTGGAAACAGCATCAACCCACCCTGTGCTCCTGACCTATAGGAGGTTTGCTACCTGTGATCCTTTGCCCTTGTTTTCAAGGTGGTGCTTGCCATCCAGTCCTTCTGAAATCCAAGGAACATGTCTTTGCTTAGCATTTGGAAATTAGGCCACTTAATGTTGCATGAACACAGTTTCCTCATTATAGAGCTGACTGTTTAATTATTTTCCCCTTACTCTTTATCCTCTGTTTCACAGTAACACGTCCCTGGTGCATGTAATGTGCTCATTAAAGCATATATTCTGCTCATGGTGAAACATTGAACATCAAATTAGTCCATTCTTTATCTGACTCTTTTTTTTTTCTAAAATGGCCACAAACTCCTTCACACCAGTGGGCTGAGGAAGAAGGTCACTGCAGCAAGGGTTTATTTTCACATATGGGTGTGTGTTTATTATTCCAGCACTGCAAGAGGGATGGGGTTTCTAACGGGACTGTGTGAATACCCTGCTTGTACTTTTCACATAGGGGACAGAAAAACTGCTACCACAAATCATCCAATTTTCCTTAAGAGGGTCAGGCTATTACCAGGATTGTGTGAGCTTTCCTTTATCATTGTGCAGGGCTTTGAGCTGTTTGAAACTTTTTCCACATGGCTGCTCCCAGAATAGATTGAACACTCTGGCAAAACTCTGGCGCAGTTGATGAATAAGGCTCCTAAGAAATCTGAGAGCTGTCGCTCTTCCTTAGACGAGAAGAACTCGCTGGGTACGATTAGGGCTCCTGGTAAACAGAGGCAAAGGTTTTAATAGGATTATGGAATGGCACTTACTTGAAGAGACAAGGATTTGAAGTGGGCAAGGACAGGTTTGCAGGGATAGGGAACCTGTTAAAGCCTGCAGAAACCTTGGATCTAAAAACCAGCTCTCATTCTTCGGGTTTTATTTTGGTTGGGGTTTTTTTTCTGGGTTGTTTTTTTTTTTTTGTCATATGGGAAAAACTCACCCTACTGTTGGGAAGAGGTTTTATGAAAGTACAGGAGCATGATTTGTTCTAAAATAAGCTTCATGTCCATAGCAGGGATCTGTTACTCTGTGTTTCCAGCCTAGATCTATCATGGTAAGTCATATACAGCGTCTGCCTCCTAATTTGCAAATCCTGTGCGTGATCCCCTCCTGTGTGTCTTTGAGAGCTGTCAGAAACTCACAGCGTGAAAATGCACAGGAACCTTCCCCCTTCTCTCTAGGATATTTATAAATTCACTGTGAGTTTACCAGGGTTGGGTTTTTTCAGCTCCAGAATCTCCAATAAGTTGCAAAACATCACTCCTTTCCCAAGGCCTGGTGCGCTGCCCCACGCAGGGATATTTGGCAGATCCCCTCTCCCTGCACACAGGGATGCTGCTGACCACGTGTGACTCTGCTCCTGTGAAGCAATGAAAGGCAGAAAAAAGGAAGGAATAAATGAATTAGTGAGTAAAACCCAAAAAGAAATATAATAATAAACAGTAAGATGTCGGGAAAGTGATGGCACACACTTGGCTGAAAACAGTCCCTACTTATAATAGCTGTAACAATAATCCTTTAAACTTTTTTGCAAACTATTATTACGTTACTGCTAAAAGAAAAGGGATTAGGTTTGGAGTGTCTGAATTAGATTACATTGCATCTAATGAACCCTTGTTTAAATTGTTTTAATAAAGTGAAATAGGGAAACTCAGTGAAACTAATGAGCTGATTTGGGAGGATACTGTTTGATAACCCAGCTAATCCCCATTAAATCTATTGTTTATTAAAAAATCATGATCTTGACTATTCCACTACTGGCTTTGCCCTTTCTAAATTCTGTAGTTGGACATATTTAAATAATTACCCTAAGTGATTTTCTGTATTGAATAAGCAGTGCAGCAACGACTGGGGCTACCATGCCTATTGAAAATACTTTAGGCTCTGCAGCTCTTTTTTTAACTCACATTATTTTTATGTAGACTTCCCATTGGTGAGAGCTGTGACATTCTCCTGATGGGGTGGGTTTGCAATGAGGTCAGTGTCTGTTTGCCAAGCAAGGGAGAGTCTGCTTTGGTGGAGGAAAAAGCACCAGCTGTTCTGGGAAATAAAAGGGAGATGGACATGTTTGCAAGCTTGGGATAGTAAGGAATTAGATGGACACGTAATGTCATCTCTTACTTTATTTTTCAAAGGTGAGTTTTGCCACAAGATGGATACACACAGGATGGAATTCTCTTACAGACAAAGAGTGCTATCCTCTCACTGGTCACCAACCAGCTCCTGAAGCTGATGGGAATTGTCTGTGAGCACCTCTGAATTCAGGGAGGATCATGTTTGTCTTTGCTGCTCCTGAACATCAAATGGTCTCTCTGACCTGCAGTTCAGAGAGATGTCCCAATAGTAAAATTCAAGCAGTCCTTGAACATAGAGGAAAGACAGGGATCCCTTTAAATGAGGGTCCTAAAACTTGACCCTGTAAGAAACTGCATGGTTTGCAAACGTCCCACAAGTTCCTGGTGGGAGCTACAGACGCACTTAATTATGTAGAAAAGGATCGTATAAACATTAAAAGCCTAGTTTATGATTTAACCTAATACAAGCAGTTTATGATGCATCTTTTTATAGTGAGTCATTAATCACTGCACTAAGGATCTCTTGCTTCTCTGGTGCTCCCGTGTCAGGTGAGTGAATTGCTCTTCTTTTTACTTTGTACCCATCAACTGCAGGAGTGGGTGAGAAGAGATGAAACATTTATTTTAAAGGATGCTCTAGTAGAAGTCAAATTCTGCTTCCACCGTTAAGAATCTGAACAAATTAAATAAAAAATATGTTGCCACATTGTCAAGTGAAAGTAAAACCTTTTTCTTCTATGGCCAGCATCAGCTTTATTCTCAGTAGCACTGTGATACACCTCAACGGGGAGAATCCTCAGCAGCTGATGAATTCTCAGAGGTGTTAACTCAGAGATTTGAAGAAACAAGCAAACAGAACACCACCACCTCCCACCCCAACTAATGACTTACCCAGTCTGAGATATCTGAAATCAAGCATGTTGTGTGTGCAGGAACACAGTCCCACCTCTGGGTTTGCACAACTGCAGTGTGTGCTGTGAAAAAATCGTGGTGCAGATGCCCTGAAATCTCTTTATGAGGAGATAGAACTCATTATATAATGGACTGTAATATACAAAAAAATTATTAGGCTTCCCAAACTTACGTTATGTGCCCTGCCTTTACTTTCTTTAAAAATAGACGAACTGCATTTTCTCTGAACAGAAATGCTAATGGTGTATCGTTGGGTAGTGAATTCTTGATCTGATTTTATTACCTTCAGCTAAGGAGATTTAGATTCCTTTGAGCAGTCAGTGTTTTAAATGCAGATTCCAGGCTGGTACGCTGTAATAAAAATGTCACAAGGTTTATTGTATAGCAAAGTTTAATTCTGAATTCTGGACAATGCTTTTTGCTCTGTGTGATTTACGAGGTCAGGTCCCTGATCTGAGAGCTAAGTAGAAACCCTTTCTGGAGAGTGTCTCAAAATTTCAGGGTTTTTTCCCACATGCTTAAATAAAATACGAGTGACAAGCATTCAAAAATACAGGTTAATCGAAATGCCTTACTTTGGTAAATCTAAAAATACTTCATTTTTATTTTGACCTTTCCCAAGCTGTAATTTTTAGTGGAAATCAATGACGTTTTGAATGAAAAGTTTTAAAAGAAAGCCTTTTAGTTCGAAGACGTTTAATCACTTAAATGATGTTAACGAAAACCCACAACTGCTGACATCCGAAAATGTAGTGCACTCTGTCCTTAGACGTGCCTATTCACACTGGAGTGCAATAAATCAGCATTTTCAGCAGGAAGTTAAATGCTATTAAAATGTTTCTGAGCAGTTCTACACTGCCTAAGCAAAATCCTAATAAGTGATGTAATCTACTGTTGTTGGAAGTCGCCCCATTGCTTGGGTTGCAGAGATCTCGGTGATAAATCTCCCAGGTCCAGATAAGGTGTGAAAGGTGTCCTCTTTCTCCAGCTCCAGTTTAATTTAGCAGTTTTACAGGCATTTTCCTGTGGTGAAAGAATGTTAAGCTTGTAAAGCCGAGCATTAAGAAACCATGAAAGGATTGAATTCGTGGTGCCCGGATTACATCAATTTTTGTGGCTCCTTTCCCTCTGCAGAACAGGGATTGGAGCAGCCTGTTCTGTGGGGGTGTGAATATGTGATGAGCTGGGTTCAGCATCTTCTAATTCCACTGGAGTTCCACAGATTCAGGCAGGATGAGATTAGGCTTGACATCTGTATGTAGCAGTAACACACTCTGCCTGGAAAAGGAGACAGGCTTAGTGGTAAGTGAAGAAGCTCATGCAGGCTTTAAATCCCAGGCTGCTGAACCCTGGAGTGTCCAGAGCCGCCAGGAATCACCACTGGTGATTCCAAATTAATATAGTCTTAATTGTACTTTAAATGAGGTGTATGATCCTCTTTTTGGGGACAGAACC